GGCGGACGCCCTCGCGGGCGGCACGCACTGCCAACCTCACATCCAGCTCGGAACCTCTACGAAAGAGAAGGCGTTGCTCTCGTCGAACGCCGCGGCCGCCCAGTCGCCCGACGGGGCGTGCAGGCTGGCCAACGCGCCTCCTCCGTGTAGTCCGTGTTCGGCTCGACCCCCCACGTCCTGAAACATATAGTTAGCCGCCACCTGGTCTTCTTGCCTGCTGCCGCTGCTGGTCTTGCGCTGCCGCCCGCTGGTCTTCTTGCCCACCGTACTGAAGCCCGCGATGGCCTTCACCTCCTGCGGGCCCCCGAAGTGCCACAGGTTGGGCGGCATGTCCGCGCGGCTGAAGTACTTCTCGTACTCCTCCTGAGTTCCGCCAGCGAAACCGAACTTGGCCTGCAGCTCCTCGAAGGTCACGCGGCTGCGCAACTCCGTCGGGGCGACCACAAGCCCCTCGTCACTGTAGTACCCGGCCTCCTCCGGCTCGAGCGCCTCGAGCATGTTCACACGCTTCGCTACCTGCGGCTCATCAATGTCCTCCGCTCTCAGGGCCTCATGGGTCGACAGGCGGGTAGGCTTGCCATAGCCCACCTCCTCCGCACAAGCTAGCTCCAGCACCGCGGGGGCGCCTGTCAGACCGCAGTCCCGGCGCGCCTCTGCCAGCCGTTTAGCTTCTCGTAGAGCTACCCTATGCGCCTGGCCGTGCAGCCCCCGCATGTTCTCAGACAAGCTCTCCTTGCGGCGGGGGCGGGTGAGGTCCTTGCACGAGCCCGTGTCCATGGAGTTGATCCCCTGCACGAACTCGTTGGCGAGAGCCCACAGGGTGCGCTTCCGCTTGAATCGATGCCGAATTCGATTAGATCGACTCGTCATCTGGGTCGGGCGATCCACCAGCGTGATGGGAAATAACGCCTCCTGTCCCGGCTGTGCCGAGAGCACCCGCTGCAGCGAGGGGTGTAGATCGTCGCGCACTCTAGGCACCCACACCGCTGATGGGCTCCGCGCCCCGACGGCAGGCTCGTCGGGGCGCGCCGCGAGCCCCTACTCATGCTTGGAGTCGGCGGACTTGCCGCCACGGCCTCCACCTCGACCTCCTCCGCGACCGTCGCCTCGACCGCCGCCCTTGTCGTTCTTGCGCCTGTGGCGTGCCTCAGCCTCGACTCTCTCCCTGCGCTGGTGCTCGATCTTCGAGCGCATCGTCGCTGAGTCCACCAGCCATGTCGGAGCCGCGTCGGCTGAGCCGCCAGGCGGCGCGATGCCCAACATGTGCTGGGCCCCGACGCGGTCGCCGCTCCGCTGCTCGTACACGTATGCCGCGAGGCGGCGGAGTCCGATCTCCATCGTGTCGTCCTTGGCCAGCACCTGCATGATCTCCAGGTCGCTGCTGCAGTCGCGGAGGCGGAAGTCGGCCGACGTGGCGAGAGTCCACAGGTCGACCCAAATTGGGCTGGTCCGACTCCCCTGGTAGCGCTGAGCGATCCAGTCACGTGCACTCGTCGATCCCTCGCCTCTCATCGCCCTGTAGATCTCAGGGGCCGCTCGCTGGAGGTCCGCCAGTAGCGAAGAGCCCCATCGCGTCTCCTCCGAGCCTCCCGCCGCGGCGGCCAGGCCCTGGCTGAGGCTGGCCTGCCAGATGCCTGCGCCAGCGGCCAGCGCGGCCTCCGACGCGAGGCGGTCCAGCGGGGCACCGAGCTCCTCGTGGCGGGGGGCCGTCACCGGGGGGCCGTCACCGTCTGCTCGCCTACGTAGCCGAACCCCGCCAGGAGACGCTTCACCTCGGGCAGTAGCTGCCCGCTCGAGTCCAACGTGTGGATGTTAGACCAGAAGCGACGACCCCACATATAGTCCTGGCCCCTGGCATTCGCGAGTGCCGTCAGCAGCTCCTTCACCTGCTTGGCCTGCTGCCGGACCTTGTTGTCTAGCTCGGGCGGCCTATACTGCGGGACGCCTGGCGGGCTCCCTGCAGCGGCTGCGGCACCCGCCTCTGGGACGGACGGGGCGGCTAGGCCCGCCCACGCCCCCAGCGCGTCCAGGCTCGCGGCACCCGCGGGCGCCTGGGCGGCCAGACCCACGGGGGGCCCGACGGGTCCCGTGGCTGGCCCCGCCATCGTCACGCCCGGCACCTGCGGGATCCCCGGCGGAGGCGCTCCAACGTCGGCTCACCCGTGCATAGCACCGTCGGGCGGGCCGCCGCCTGGGAATCCTCCGCCTGGCATGCCCATCGCGCCCGACAGGGCCAGCTGCTGCATCTGGGCCGTGAGGGAGGCCATCTGCGCCTTCGTCGCCCTCTGGTCACAGTAGAGCCACCAAGCCTGGCGCGCGACCCGCGCCGTGGCGAGGAGGCCCACCAGCCCGCAGACGGTGAGGCCCGCGAGGCGGGCCCGCCCCGTCGAGCCCAGCTGGGCGGCAAGGGCTCCTCCTCCGCCCGTCAGGGCAAGGAGTCCCTACGCCGCTGCGAGCCACCAGCTGCCCTGGCTCGCGTCGGCTGCGGGGCCCTCTGGGGCGGGCGGCGGCGGCTCGCCTCCTGGGGCGGCGTGCAGCCCGGGCGGCGCGGCCGCCGCAGCCGCATCGCCCCCCAGCGTCATGGCGGGCCCGTCTGGTGGAACACAGCGGCACCCCTCGGGTGCCGCGGAGAGACCTGCAAGAGGGTGCCCGCGGAGGCACCTCGAAACTCTGATCAGTGAGTCATGGTGCCTTGAACTTGAAACGGTTTCGGGCGCAGGCGAGACCTGGAGACAGCGCCCGAAACAACAAGACATATCCCATCCTTTGGCCCCTTCGCTAACCTATCTGAAAATCAACGTTCACAAACTCACTCACCCATGTATATGTATATGTATACGCATATGTATATGTATATGGTTATGTACATGTTTATGTACATGGTTAAGTGTATGTTTATATGTATACATGTATAGATTTATATACATGTATTTGTCTACGTATATGTACATGTATATGTAGATGCATGTGGGTGCGTGCATGTGTGTAAATGTATATTTCTAGGTACGTGCACACACAAATGTATGTATATATATGTGTATATATACATATATATATATATGTATATATCCAAGAGCCGCATTGGCCCACTGGGGATGGGATTCGTGCTCCAACGTGCGCGGGCATCCGCGAAAGAAATAACGAGGGAAGCACTCGAGTGAACGGGCTTGTTCGGACTATGTCCGGGCAGCCCGCGGTTGCATTTGGCAGTGCTCTTTGATCGTCCAGTTTTTTCTGTATTTTTACAAGTGTGGGAGATCGATTGGCCTGCTTCGGCTAGTCCACCGAGTTCTGGCGGGAATGCCTTTATCCCATCCGCTTGCGCGGCGAAGTGTTTTTGCAGTGGGCGCCGTGGCGGTCAAAGTGCTTTTGGGATGGATCGAAGTCCACCAACCCAAGGACCTGCCGAACTCATTCTCCCCTCGTGGCCAGGCAACTTTTTATGAGAAGGGCGGTCAGTAGTGCCCTTTCTTCCGCTGTCTGCCAGCCTGTACAAGGCATGTCGGATTTGTTGGAACACCAGGCTGGAACAGTCGTTCTTCCTGCCTTGCCAGCTTGCCGGCTTCTCACCCTGTCCTTGCCGTTGCCGCATTGGATCTCAAGGATCGTTTGCCGCGCTCGCTCTACAGCGCTGTACAAGAACATATTTGCTTTGTTCGATGTACATCCGCATGCGGAAAACACTGCTTCTTAACATATGTCATCATTTCTTATTCCTCTCTTTCGCCAGGAAGCGCTCAGTATGTTGAGGCGAGGTTTACTGCCAACGTCGTGCGTGACTGTATTTCTTGATTGATGTCGGCATCGCGGCCAGGCTAGCACTTGGGAGTCGATTCGTATGACGAGTGTTGTGTCATCCTCTTCCTCCCCCACCTCCTCGCCATCCTCTTCATTATCCTCCTCCTCTTCGTCCTCCTCTTCCTCCTCCTCCTCCTCCTCCCCCTCCCCCTCCCCGTCCTCCCCCCCTCCTCCCCCTCCTCATCCTTCCCCCTCCTCTTCTTCCCCTGTACGCAATCGCTGGCCCCTTTTTCCCCCTTCCCGTCGTCCTACTCCTATTTCCGCTCCCGCTCACGCATTTGCTCGTCGTCGTCGTCGTCGTCGTCGTCGTTGTCATTGTCGTCGTCGTCGTCTTCGTCTTCGTCGTCTTTTTCGTCTTTGTCGTCGTCGTCGTCGTCGTTGTCGTCTTCGCCGTCGTCGTTGTCGTCGTCGTCGCGGTGGTCGTCGTATTCGTGGTTGTCGTCGTCGTCGTTGTCGTCATCGTCGTCCCGTTTTCCGCCTTTTCCCGTTCGTCCTCTTCCCCCACCTCGTCCCTGCAGTCGTCGTCCTCCGCCCCCTTCCCCCCTCTCGCACTCTTCCCCACCCTCCTGCTCCCAACCCTTGCCCGTTCCCCCCCCCCGCTGCCTCTCGCCCTCGTCCTGGCTCACGCCTTCGCCTTCGCCTTGTTCGTGCCGGCTGTCCTCCCCCCTCCCCCGCGCATCATGCTACTTCGCACCTTCCTACTTGCCCCCTTTCTCTTTCCTTCTCCCTTTCTCTCCTGCGCCCGTCCGCCAACACCCGTTTTGCTCCATGTTCAGCCTCTTCTTCTCTTGTACCGCTCCCCCTCCTTCCCCCCTCTCTCCCTCCTTCGCCCCCTCCACCCATGTCACCTCTCCCCTTCCTTCGCGCCCCTGTGCGAGCTGTTCAATCTTCCCCTACCCTCCACGCTCTCCTGTCCGCCTCTACGGCGTCAACGTTTAAAACGCTCTACAACCGCGTGGGCAGCCTCTTTCGCGCATCCCCTCAGCCGTATCCGGGCGCTTCCAATGTTCCTCAAGCCTTTTGGTCGATTATCCTCGGGACGTTTGTTAGCTCGCTGTGTGTTTTCCTCGTTCGGCTCCAGCAGTGGCGCGCAGCAAGTGTCGCCGCTGTGGAGAAGCACACGTTGGCACTGACACTCGTCCTGAGGATCATTGATATGGGCGCGCGGTCTCCCGTCTTCGTCTTCTGCCCCGCCGCTCGAGGCGACGAGGAGATCACGACCATGCTCCGCAACTTCATCGGGGATCTGCAGAGGAATAACCACCCGCACTGCAAGACGCAGCAGGTCACGGCAGAGCAGGGGGAGACAGGGCGAGGGGGCCTGGCCTTCGAGGAGGCAGGGCCTCCTCGAGGCGGGCCCTGCAGGATCCCTGTCGACCAGATCCATCTGATTCGACATCGCTTCCGCCCCGCTCGATCCGATCCAGTTCCGAATTTCCAGCGATCTCATGCCGCCCGATGCTTGCACGGTGCTGTTGCGCATCCTGGCGCCGCCGCTCCGATTCGATTTCGTCTCCGTGCTGAGCAGCCCGGCTCGACGCACACTTCGATTCGCTCTGATGTCCAGACTCGACGTTGATTGATCTTGCCTTGCCCCTCCCCATGGTCGAGGAGCAGAAAAACGTCAAGACATATCTACTTTCGGAGGTCCGTGCGGATCTTTTCGGCCAGCGCTGGTGGCGCCGCCCTGGAAGGGGGCCAGCGTCAGCATGCCCCCCCCCCTGCGCTGCCCCCTCAGGGGCAACGTGAGGGTGGGATAGGCTCAGGGGGGATGCATCGACCCCCAGTGGCCCACTGATCGCCGATAGGGGCCCGATAACCCAATCCGCCCAGGAACGTGCGGATTCGCCATCGGGGCCCCATCGCCGATCTGTCGGCGACGCATCGACGATTCCGGCTCGATGTTCCCCCCCCCTCTTGGCTGGTGCCCCGCTAACGTTCCCTCTCACCCCCCTCGGGCGCGCCGCCAAGCAGGCGAACAGCGTGGACTTCGGGAAGGGCCACGAGACGGGGAAGTACGAGGGCAACCTGAGGCGCTCGCGGACGGCGAACGCGAAGACGTCAGAGCAGGATCTCGGCAGGTGCAGCCGGATCTGCGGCCGCCGTTTCGCCAGGTATTCGGGTGGCGCCAAGCTCGATGATCCTCAGGACGTCTTAGCTCAGTGTGTGCTTATCCCGCTCAGCACCTGCACCGATCGCAAGCAGCCTGTGTCGGCCCTCATTGCACCGCCTGCGTCAGATGGAAAGGCCGAGGTGGACAAGCACGCGTTGGCGCTGACAAGTCCCGAGGACCATGGGCACTTGTGTACCAGGCCAGCTCGATGCACGCTTTTGCGCTTGCTGGTGCGAGCGGCGGCGCGTATTGAGCTGGTCTGGCACACGGCTGACGTCGTCCAGAGGTACCACACGGAGCGGGTGCAACCATTTTGCCGCCGCCTCCAGACGAACAAGGTGTTTGAGCTCTCGATGTTCGTGGTCTTGATTGTTGCCCTCTTCCTGCCAGATGTCTGGGTGTTGTTGGACATCAACAGCGATCAGGCCTTAGACACATGCCTGACTGTCATCATGGCCGCTTTCTTAATGGAACTGCTGGTTCAGATGATTGGATACCCAGACACATACACGTTCTCTTTTTTCTTTTGGATGGACTTGATCGGCCTCTTCTCTGTGCCCATGGACCATTCCCTCGTTGTCAACGCGCTTCCCACGTCCCTTGACAACGCTGTAGTGCTACGTGCGGCGCGCATGGCGAAGCTGGGGGCACGGGCTAGTAGGTTCACGAAGTTAGTCAAGTTTCTCCGGTTCCTTCCGGGGATGAAGGAGACGGCCAATGCTGGTACCGCCAAAGTGATTTCACGGTCTCTAAATATGTCTCTTTCGACCAGGGTGTCGTGTCTAATAGTGTTGATGGTAATCGTGCTTCCCTTATTTGAATTGGCTGCGTACCCACAATACGATTTCTCTATGGCGATGTGGCTGGACCTTATCCACGACACTGCCCACATGTATCCAGACGAAGTGCTTGAGGTTGTTGGAGATTTTGAGGCCTTCTACCGCGATAGGTCCTACTTCCCGTTCGAGATAGTGTGGGACTACCAGAACGGCACCACACCGTCACTCGCGCTGTCCGGAGGCCCCCCAAACCACCGCCGGAGCGAAATCAAGGTAAAGGGGGAGGCTGGGAGCACTTACGCGATGTTCAATTTCAGAGGGGTTCACAAGGTCGACTCTATATGCAACGTGCTGCTCATCCTCACCATTCTGGTCTTGATGCTGGGATCTGGCCTGGTGCTCTCCAACACGGTGTCCTCCATAGTGCTAACGCCGCTGGAGGAGCTGCTTGAGAACGTCAAGAAGATAGCCTCCAAGATTTTTACCTCCGTCGCGTCGATGGAGAAGGGGAGGAAGAAGTCGAAGGACCAAGACCAGGATGCCGAAGCCGGTGGCGGTGGGCTCGGTGCGGAGACGGAGCTCCTCGACCGCGTGCTCAAGAAGCTCACGGCGCTCAGCGAGATCACGGTGAAGAAGTCTCCGCTCGACAGCGAGGCCATGGAGCGCCTGGGGGAGGCGGACGCCGAGATGCTCAAGAGCTACACGGTCCCAGACCACGGGGACAAGTACAGGGACGAGTACATGGAGGCCGAGGACGTAGCGTCCATGGCGGACCTGCCAGCCATGCGGACCATCCAGCAACAGCTCAGCGACGCGGACGTCTCCTGGAGGGCGCTCGACGACTGGGACTTCGACGCGTTCAAGCTCAGCGACGCCCAGAGGCGCGCAGCAGTGGGGGCTGTCATCGTGATGCGGCACGAGCATATCTCCGAGGGCTCCTTCCTGGGCGAATGGGCCAGCACCTGCGCGTGCTTCGTCGATGGTGTGCTGAATGGCTATACCAGCCCAGTCGAGGTGCCGTACCACAACTGGACGCCTGGAGGTGTGCGCAAAGGGGGGTGGCGCGAGGGGGGGGCGGCCTCTGAGAGAAGTCGCGGGGCTCCCGAGAAGACGGGGAGGGGAATCTTTCTTAGAAGGGTTGCCTGGGGCTTCTAAGAAGGTTTGAGGTGGGGCTTCATATCGCAGGAGCGAACGAAGGACGTACACGTTCATGAATCCACGTTGGTTTCGAAAGTACGCAGTGCGCGAACGTTTGTATCACGCGGCTGGTCTCGCGGACTGGGAGGCCGTGTTCATGCATGTGGTTGGGCGCGTACGTCTTTTGTGGGACGCCCGTATACGGCAGTGGCCTTCTGAGAGGCTTCCAGGGAGGCTCCTCAGAAGCTGGGAGGGCTTCTCAGAAGCCAGCTGCCTTCGTAGAACCCTCCCCCGCCTTCTGAGAAGGCGCGCCCCCCTCACGCCACTCGCTTGCGCGCGCCACGAAGGATGCACGCCGTGGATGCCACTCTGTCGATGAATGTGATGCTCGAGCTCTGCGTCACGGGCTTCTACTTCACGGCCTACGAGCGGTTCGCCCTCGCCGTGGCCGCCGTCTGCCATGACATTGGCCACCCTGGCATGAACAACCAGTTCCTCATCCAGACGTCGCACGCTCAGCCAGCCTCGATCGGGGGAGTCGGTCCCCACTTCCTGATCGACACCATTCCCAGCATCAGTTTCTCGCCGCGGATCGTTTGAACTGTCGAACTTTTCCAGGGCCGGCGAGATGGCCCGAGCCACTGACAATCGCCCGCGAGCAATGCCCGCCACGACGGATGCCGGCAGCTTGGTACTTGTCCCACACAATAAGGCATGCGGGCAACGTCGCCTCCCCCCCGAAAACAGCACCAGCAGACGTAAACTTTCGGATGCCCGTGGAGTTCTCTTTGGTCGGCCTGGGCCCATCCTCCCCACACCCTGGCGGCGCCTCTGGCCTTGCACATGGTGCGCTCCGCGCGTCAGTGAAGAGGTGTGTGGAGGGGGGTCCAGCGCCGACCCAAGCAACTCGCACGGAACTCCGACAGTCTCTGACTCTTTTTCTTAAGTGCGAGTGTCTTCGGGAGTTTCTGAGCAGTGGAGCCGCGTCCTACTTCTTCGCTCCGAAACCGCCCCTGCTCAAGCTCTAATCCTCAGGGCCCCATGGGCGCCGATCGTCGCTCCGTGGGCCGCGGTCGGGCCGTGAGCTGCCTCGGTCGCGCCCACCTGGCTCGCCCAGTGCCCGCCCTGCCCGGAGGCCCGGGTGTCGCGCGGCTCCCGCCCCGCGTGCCCGTCCCAGGCGGCGGCCACCTGCGGGGCCTGCCCAGGCTGCCCGAGCTGCCCGACAGGCAGCCTGGCCTGCGGCAGCGGGCTGGGCGTGTTTCTGGTCGGCGGAGGTTGCCGCTCGCTGCTCGAGGCGGTCGGCTGGCTTGCAGCGCGCGCCGCGGGGCTGGGAGGCCGCTCGGGGGAGGCCGCTAGGCCCGTCGAGATCCTCGTGGAGGACGGCGCGGACGTCGACGACTCCTCCGTGGGCGCTGCGCTGGCACGGAGTGCGCGCGGGCGCTTCTTGGCGGTGCGGGCCTGACCCAGCCAGTTGCCGCCATGGCGGGGCAGCAGACACTGGACGCGCCGGAGTCTCAGGTGTGCGACGACGACAACATCCGTTGGCATCGCCGCCCTTGCAACTTGGTGGCCGCCACTCCCGATGGCGAGATCCTCGTGCTGGACCTCAGCGGCCACCTGGTCGTGCCGCTGCGGCGTGCGTCGGCCTTCCCAGCGCGAGTCCGCGGGCAGGTATACGCGTTCAGCGTCCGGAACGACGAGGACATCGAGGCGCTGAGGGTCGAGGCGAGGAGGCTCGCAGTGGTGATGGGCGTGGCTCCTGGCACACACGAGGGGCTCCAAATATTAGATGAAAGAGTGAGGGGGGCCGCCCAGGAGGACAGGCTTCGTCACGACCCAGGAAGAGCCCCCAGGCCGCGAAGGGCCCCCAGGGGCAACCACGGAGAACCCCCTGACGGAGTCAGAACACGTCCCACACGGGCAAGGCAGGAGCAGCCTCAGGCGACGCGCAACAGAACTCAGGACGAACAGCCAGCAGTGGAGCAGGAGACTGCTGAGGGCCCGCAGACTCCGGCCAATAGCCCTCCGCGCCCTCAAGCCCCCCCCCCCACAGACGCGGGCGGCCACACCACAACCGCCAAGCCCGCACAACCAGGCCACCAGCCCCCCATCGCGCAACCCGATACGGGGTGTCGGCGAGAGCAACAGCAGAGGAAACGCCACACCCTTGGCATCCCCAGGCAGTGACCGCACTAGCAACACCCCGACTATTGGGGCGGCAAGCGCCCCCAGCCAGGAGCGCGGGGAGGAACGCAGCAGTGCGGACCGCGGGGAAACGCAGGACCCACAGGCGCAGTCCCCGGCACAACCGCAGACACCAGGCGGGACGCTTCACCAACAGGCGCGACAGCCTACCGATTCGCGCACAAGGCAGTGCACGGCACACCCGCCCCCACAGCGGGAGGAGCGAGGTGCGGCACATCCCACGGCGCCGACACCCCAGGTGGAAAGAGACGAACGGATGGACAGCGGTGGAGAGGGCAGACAAATCCAACGAGCCAGGAGGTGGGGCACGAGCAGAGGACGCACCACAGGTCCGCACCTGTAGAACAAGACCCCCTCCGGACAGCGTCGCCCGTAGCCTGCCAGGTGACCCGCTGGGAAGAGGCGACTCCCCCAGGGCAAGCCTGCATCTGCCACCCTGTATGAGGCACAAATGGAGTCACCTCCTCAGCAGCGCAGCAGGGACGCTCCGCGCTCTCGGACCCCCTACGCAGTGGGAGGGGCTCGGCTGCACGGACAGAGCAGAGTGGAGGACAGTTCTCAGCGCCATAGTCTGGGGCACCTCCATGCTTCAACTCGTAAAGCAGATCAGACAGATATTTACCAGAGCCCACTTATCTCTCAGACTGATCACCCCCTTCAAGGCATACTGGGCACAACACCCGCCGATTCGCACAAGGAGCTCTGCTGGCAGAAACATCCTGTCCAAGAACGCGGCACTAACCGCGGGCGACGCGTGCGCGCACCTACAAACTGCAGCAACCGGAATCCCCGGCGCGGGAGGACCGGCATGCCTTTTCTCGCCCTTGACCGAAGAGATCCTCGAGCGGATCCTCTCCGTCGCCGTGGGTGGCGCTCCCGGCCCCAATACCAGCAGGCTTAAGGCGGTCGATCCCACCTGGTTCAATCTCAGGGGAGACCCACCTTACGGCAGCCCCACTGAGCGACCACCACAGGGGGCTGAGGCAGGGCTTCCTCCGAACCCCACGCAGAGGAGCCCCAACTCAGAGGGCCAGCCCCTAGGGGCAGGCGCTGCAGAGGTGACCGCAGCCCAGCATCAGCACCAGCAGCAGGCAAACCAGCAGAACAGGGACAGGACGCCGACGGGCCCCGCGCGACGGCAAGACAGGAGTCGCAGCAGGAGGGCCCGGCAGACAGGCCCCCTGGGAACGAGGACGCGACCTAGGGCAAGGCTGAGGACCGCGAGGCCGGCAGAGAACAACTCCCGGACCCTGGTAACGATGTGGGAATCTCAACCAACAGTACCGGTGCAGAGTAGACCGAGAGGGGGCCTCGCACGCGCCTCAACTGAGCTGCAAGGGCCGGGAGAAGGAACGAGGAGGGCAAGGCCCAGGACGAACCCCCTTGCGCCCACCGAACCCACCGCAGCCCCGCAACCAATGGACGTCCTCCAGCAGGTATGGACACAACACAGGATCGCGATTCCGGGCTCTCACCAGTCGCCCCTCCCGACCAGGTGCTCGCCGCCTACCAGGTAGCAGTCTTGGACAACAACACCATCCTAGACGCGCTACAGTCCCCGCGCGAGCAGGGCACCATCCGTCTAGGACCCGACCAGGCGGTCGACGATATAGCGGGCAGGCTCCGAATACAGGAAGCTGCAGAACGGGATTTCACGCAGCAGGAGCAAGGGGCAGGGGGGGGCGGACCTGCAGCGCAACACTGCCCCACGAGCGAATGCTCCCCCCTACACCTTGTGTCATTATTCGACGGCTGGGGAATCGCCAGACTCGCGGTGGGCGACCTTGTCAGCAAGCTTGGAGCCACCAGCAGTTTTCGATCCTCGGCCTTCGCGGGGCACAACAGGACCGCGGCGGAGGCTGCGGCGCGCAGATGGGCAAACGCCCCAGACCCGCAAGACGGGGGCCCGCCGCATAGACACATAGCGGCAGACGTATGGGATCTCTTCAGACGTAAAGACCCCCACGACAACAGAACCCCCTGGGAAAAGCATCTGGGCTCCCTGGACCAGGGCAGCACCCTTCTGATAGTGGCAGGGCCCCCCTGTAACAACCTATCAGCGGCAGGCGCTCACGCTGGCAGGGATGGTCTGGCGGGCGCTCAGTCCTCCCACTTCTCTGCTGTCCCATCAGCTTGGTACCTCGCAAACAAGAGAAGGCCAGACGTCTCCGACCTGGTCCTCGTGGAGAACGCGGCTTCCATGCCACTGGCCCACCGAGACGCCATGAGAAGGGCCATGGGGGAGCTCAACCCCGAATGAGCAGTCAAAATGAACGCGGGTGAACATGTGGCCAGCCCCAGAGAGCGACTATGGATCGCTAACTTCCCTCCCCCCACCAGCACGATAGCATGCGCCCGTCTCCCCAGCCCTTGGGGGCCTAGATGGGCATGCAGGCCAGATGGAAACATCCCGACGTGGACGCGGTCCAGGACCGCCCATGACGACCCAGACGCCATCCTCCCCAGCAGCTACAAGACCCACCTCCTATGTCTCCTATACAATGAAGACAGTAGCTACAGGTGGTTCCTTCGGAACCCAACGGAGCTGAAGCAGGGGGCAAGGCAGATACTTATTGACTGTCGTGCAGAGCACCGATTTCCAGGGTGCACCGAAGGTCTCGGACTAGTCATGGCCGGGAGGGAAAGGGAGAGCCTGGCCACCGAAGACAAGGTCAGAGCCCGGGGAAGACGGTTAGTGAAGGAGGGCAGAACTCACGGGCCCAGGCTCCCCAGCGCAGACGAGAGAGCGAGAGCTATAGGCTTGGCCGGGCGCTGCCGCGGACTCAGAGTAAGCGACGGGACGCCCTACGACGAGGTTGGCATGCACTTCGACCCGCGCTGCCTTCAACGCAGGATCGTCTCTGCGACGCGTGCCTGGACCGCAGGGCGCTCGGAAGCGCCGACCTACACCCCCGCCCCGACGGGCGGCCAGATAGCGCGCGCATGGACCGCAGCACGGGCGCACGCAGGAAGACAATGCCCGCGGGCGCAGCTCAGAAACCGCCCCTTCCCAGACGACATCGCGGAACAGCTCCGGCGCGAAGAAGCCCTCCTGTCCGAGCTAGCAAGCCCTTAGATTCGGACGAGGACCCCAGCGCGCTCCACCAAGCGCTGGGCCCCCCCCCCCGCCACGCCCTGGTGCCGGGGACACGCGCGCTCGCCTGGGCGCAGGCGCGGCGCGCGCTCAACAGTGCACTCCGAGCCTTTTGCCACTGCAAGGTTCGCGGGCCGAGAAGCCTCTGGCCCCTCTTACACGCCGACCCTTAAGGATTGGGGGCAGCCCACATGGGACACCATGTGC